CAGCCGATGCTTCAGCCCCTCTCCTCCTCCTCCTCTTCACACCTTGCCTACTTGCTCAGTGACCTTTCGCTCTAAAACGCCAAATGTGTTTCATTTTGGAGGTTTTTGTGGGAAAGATACTGTGCAACGGGCGAGCAGCAGCTCTTGGTACCGTGTGCTGGGATTTGGCAAATAAGCGTGTCATCAGTAATTCATTTATTTTAGACGATCCAGACCTGAAAGATATTGACCCTACGGTATTAAAACATTGCCATGCTGCGGCTGCAACGTGTATTCTGGAGGCTGGAAAGCAGAAAGCTGACATATCTGCTATAAGGTACTAATACTCTGAAGCTACCCCATTTTTCTATCGGTTGTTACTTTAAACTGTACTGCTGAGTTAATGTTAACAAAAAACTAATAAATTCTTTTTTCCTGTAGCACATGTCTAGAAGACTGTATGCTGGATAAAGAGAGAATAGAACAATTTTGCACCGAATATGAGGTTTTTAAACCAATTTTGACATACTTCTGTTTTCTTTCTCTCATAGGAATTTATTGAACCTAGCAATTTTTTTTCCTTTTTTTTTTTTTTTCCCCCTCCAGAAAAACAAGGATGCACTGGAAATCCTATTGGGAAGGTAGGTCAATCAGTCAGCACAGATACATAGTTTCAATTACAGCTACTTTGAAACTGTCCTGGGAAACACCTATGCGTACTTCAGGTGATTAAAGTAAGAAATATTGTGCCATTAAAAAAAAAAAATTGTACAGTTTTAACAAACTTTAGAAAACAGTTGTTGAAACTTTTCTTCCTCCTTTTGGAATTCCACTCGTAAGAAACTTTTTGAACTTTTCAAGAAGCATTACAAGGGTCATGAAAAAGTTCTTTTATTGCTGGACAGCTTGAGAAAATGATATTTTCTTTTAGCGTAGGGAACTCGTAACTGTTGTGTCTTTCAGCATAGGCAGATCTCCTCTCCACATAACTGATGTGTCTTGGCGCTTGGAATATCAGATCAAGGTAATTTTAACTCATCAAGGTGTTTCTTTAGTCTGTTTCAGTGCTGAGACCTGACTTTTTTCTATGTTCTTTGTTTATAATTTAGAGCAATCAACTTCATAAAACTTACCAGCCTTCCTACTTGGTGACCTTAAATGTAGAGGTACTGTACTCCCAGCACCCTCAGAGGAAAATAATGCAATTTCTTTTTTTTTTTTTAATAAAACAGGCATTGTTTTTTTAATTTTTATTCAGAACGGTGATTCAGGATCACACCCAGATGTTAGTTTTACCTGCACGATGGAGCAATTACAGGTACTTATTTCCTTCATCATTGTTTCTATCCTTGGCTCCAGTTGCGGATGTAAATGTTTTAAACAACTTGCCAATCAAAATAAAATCACATTAAAAAAAAAAATCCAGGACTGGGAAGATAGGAGAGAATCTTCTATAAAAAATTATCCAAGTGTAGCTTTCCTGTCTTCTCAAATAAAGTTGCAAAGTAATGGGTTTTAGTTGCCTGAGGAGTGTTTTACATACATGCATAAATATTTTGTCTTTTCATAGCTGTGAAATATATATATACATATATATAGGAGGAAATACATCATTTTTCTGAAAATAATTTCCCGTGCTTTGGAGAAATCATTAAAGAAGCGGGTTCGATCATTTAAATGTGTCAGGATTAAAAATAGAGAACGAACTGAAGGCTCTTCAGTGGTGTTAATGACATGTAAGAAATGTACTGAAACAAACGTTGATCTTTGTTTAGCGATTTAAATGTGTAACTGAACAATAGAGGTATTGTAGTGCTTGAAAGTGGCCAAACTGTGGAGGACTGGGAAGAGGGGTTGGGGGGAGAGGAAAAGCAAGATATTAAAGCTTCAGGTTTATACTTCTGCCTTTTTATTGTGTGTCTCAAAAGTCGTTCTTTTCTTACTAGTGAGTGTTTTTAATCGGTTTGCTGTCTTAGTCAAATCTGATGTGCTTTGGCTGGAGAATCGTCCTAGTACAAAATTGCACTCAAAATATTTTCAGAATATTTTAGAAATGGCTATACTACTTCAAAGCCTAGAGCAAATGTCAGCTTTAGCCATCCTAACCATACCGATAAAATCCATGTGTTAAGAGTAGTGATCTATTTTAGTAGACAATTTATGTTAAAAGGTGTTTTCCTTCAGTTCCAACTTTCCTTACTACGTCGTAAAATAGGGAGCTATTTAATTATGTGCTGGTATTGTTCATCAGTTGCAACATTTCTTTGTGGTATAAGGTGCTGGTTTCCTTTGCCTCTCTGTATAAAAAAATGTTATGTTCCTCTAGCTGACCTTTAGAAAAACGTGTTTATTCTAAGACAGTATTTAATCTTTTAGGATTTAGTTGGAAAACTAAAAGATGCTGCAAAAAGTCTAGAAAGGGCGACTCAGATGTGATTGAAGGAAGGTGTCAACCTGCTGAGCTGAAGTACTCTCATTCCTAAGAGTGTCTTCTAAATGACAAATGTCTTTCATCTCTTGATGCAAACTGTTTTCTTTTCTTTTCTTTTCTTTTTTTTTCTTTAAGCCCTTGGATGCGAATTAAGTGAAATAACTGGGTTTTTGACCACACTTGGTATTCCTTGCTCATGTCCTATTTTTTTAATTAACTTTTGTTAAATATTTGCTGAACTGTCGTGTCTTCAAAGCATTGCTTCTATTTTATTTTGTGTATTTTTTAGAATTGTCACTGATTATTTTTCTCTGGGATGTAATAAAGTTTATTCGCTCCCGTTCTGCAGTTTCTATGGGTGAATTAGCTGTACCTAAAAGTAAGATGCTAAACGTCAGATCAGCTCCGTGAGGGGAAAATCCCTTCCGCCCGTGCCGCGGCTACGGCGCGTTCGCTAAATTGCCCACCGCGCTTGGTTATTTCGCTCCAACTGATCTGACATCTTCTGTGAGAGGAAGGGTCGGTCCCGGCGCGGGAGGCGAGAAGGACTTCAGATTAATTTTATGGGGCCGGGCTCCTGACGGGAAGCCGGGAGTCCGCGGGACTGAGCGGAGCCGGGTG